TAGAGAGTGCGTGGAAAAGGTTATTTCTTTCATAAAAATATGAAAAAGAAAAAAATGAGCCAAAGTCAAGACATAATATAAAACAAAATGAAAGAAGAAAAAAAAAAAACCCCAAACACCCAACGCTGCAGTTGATTCTCGAATTTTAGTGAGGTGACCGTATATCCAATGTTCTGTCAGTGTGTCCAGGTGTGAAGGAAATGATAAGACTCTGTCTTAGCAGGATGGAGGGAGAGGGTCCCCCGCCAGCTTTGAAGAAGTAAACTGCCATGTTGTGGAGAGGACCACATGGCAGGACATGACGGGTATCACCTAAGAGCCGAGGATGGCCTTGGGCCAACAGTCAGCAAGAAAGTAGGGGTCTCAGTCTTACAACCACAAGGAACTAAATTCCTCCAACACTGAACTTGAAGGAGGACTCCAAGCTCCAGATGAGAAACAAAGCGTGGCTGACACCTGACTGCAGCCTGGTGAGACCCTCTCATCAGAGGGCCCAGCTAAGCAACTCCCGGACACCTGACCCATGGAAACGATTAGATAATAAATGTGTTACGCCACCTAGTTTGTGGTAATTTGTTATATAGCAACAGAAAATGGACGCCCCCCCAAAAAAGAGATTAAATGCATAATGAGGGATCTGTTATAACTGTATGCCATTTCATCCCTGGTCAGGGAAGCAGCAGAGATTAGTGGTCAAGAATATAAACTCAAAAAAAAAAAAAAAAAAAAGAATATAAACTCTGGGACCAACCTGCTTGGGTTCAGATTCCGGCTTTGTTACTGACTGTGTGACTTTGGGCAAATTACTTAACCTCTCTGTGCCTTGATGTGTCCCTTTCTAAGATGGGTCTAGTCATAGTACCTACCTTAGTTTACTCATTAAACTTAGTATTGAACTTACTAAATGTAGAACACTTAGAACTGTGACTGATGCATAGCAAGTCCTACTCAAGTGCTTCCTAACATTATTATCAAATCAAAACCAAAACAATCTGTATTCAGAAACACAGGAGATCAACTGCTTTATGTTATAGACAGAAACTGAGCTCCAGAGAGAGGAAGTGTTTTGTGCAAGGTCAGAAGAGTAGTTCTAAATTTACAAACTACATTTAATCCTGAAGGTAAAGGCTCAGAGAATCCGTAGGCTAAAAATCATATTCTGTGTAATCTGTTCATGGGGAAATCCAGCCCAAATCAGGTTCGAGAAAAATGGGGCAGTTTCAGGCCTCTCCATGCTCGGTGGGCCACTTAGATCAGGTTTACCTTCTTGTTCTTCAGGCCAATGATGTCCTCCTTCAGATGTGACAAAGACTCTCTCCTTGACCAAACGTTATTCAGGCTCCTCTGAGCTTTCTCTTCACCTAGGTCCCCATCCTGTCTTTGGCTAGCCCAGCCCAGTCTTAGCAAAGAATTCTTCCGAATCATTTTAGTAAGAACCATCGCCCCACACCTTTGATATCTGATCACTCTTGGTATCTGAGCAAATTCTTCACCCTCTACCTTTTGATGTGTAAGTCCTTGACTTGTCTTGAGCAAGAATCCTGTTAAGTGGATTAAGAATCCCCCTACTCTTGATGTCTCCTCCTAGTAATTTTCCATACACCGACCTGCCCCCAATTCTGCTTGTTGTCTACAAATCTCCCCTGTACTCAGAGTTGAACCCAATCTCTTCCCCCCTATTGTGATAGTCCTGACACCTACCACAATAGTCCTAAGAAAAATCTTCTGTACTGCTTTTAACAAGTGTCAATCAATACTTTCTCTTTACCAGGTGTCATCTGTCTTGGAAGCCTTCCACGATCCCAGCCTGCAGTGAGCACCCTTCTGTCAAGCTTCCATCACATCCTGGGCTCCCTCCCCTTTATCTCCCTGTACGATGTTACTATTCATACACCTGTCTGTCTTCCCCACTGAACTGGGGTTCCATGAGGGCAAGAACTATGTCCTATATGTCTTTGAATTATTACCACTTGGCACAGTTGCTGAACCCTAGTAACTTTTTTTTTCTTAAAGTGAACAAATCAGTTACTTAAGTGGGGTTTCTGCAGGATCTTGTGATGACTGCTGGACATGCTATCAGGGCTTCACAATATTTGGAAATAGCTGACTGATTCTTAAAGGTTGAAGAGACCATATTATGTACGGTCCATGGACCAGCAGCCTTTGCACCACGTGGGAGTTGCAGAAATGCCGAATCTCAGGCTGCATGTACTGAATCAGATTTTATTGAGATCCTCACAAGTGATTCATTAAAGTTTGAGAAGCATTGGTGTGGGCCAAAAAAGAAAAAAAAATACACACACACACACATACACACACATATATCCCCAAAGACTAGGCTTATTCTTACTATTAAGTTTCTTTCAACAGCGAAGATTCTATAATCTCATGTTTATCTGAATCCCTGGGAAACAGTGCAGACAACTAACAATGTCTTGAGCTATGGGGCACATAGACCTGGGTTCAGTTTTCAGGACTCTTATTTAACCTCTGACTTTCTGTTCCCTTGTCTTTAAAATGGGGATAATACTCACATCATACTTTCTATTGATGGTTAAATAAAATAATGTATTGTTCAGCAAATGTTTGTTCCATTCCCTTCCTTCCAAGTTCTGGACTCACTGTAACCTGCATTATTGAGAATGGTTCATGACTACCAAGCAGCTGTAGGAAAGGATTTAGACTTTAAGGAGGGAACCCATGTGTCCCCCTTGTCTTTGTCTCCATACCCCATACTCATGTCACTTCCATCCACCAAAACTGGAGAGAATAGTCCTTGGAGTCACAAAAATAGTGTTTGAGATGTGGTTCCCCCAATTACTTCATCTCACTGAGCCTTGGTTTCCTCATCTATGAAAAGAATAATCCTTCCTCTCATGAAATTCCAACAGGCAAGAGAAGCAAAAAAAGCTAGCCCATCAGCACATAAGTGCTCCATAAATGGTGGCTGTGGTTGGCTACAGGTAGCTCTGAACAATGTTAGAATGTGCAAAGCAGATCTGTTGTCAGAGGACATGATTAAACTGGGGTCTTCCATTAGCCTTCTCTGCTGGATTAGACATAGGTTTTTATGTTTGCAGGTTTTAAGTTTTATGTTCTAAATAACTCAGAGTTGATGAAACGCCCAAGCTCAGAATTGCCATTTGTTTTGGAATATATATAGGACACACACATTTGTTTTGGAATATATATAGGACACAGAGTGCATCACTTATGGAGATATTCCTGGGATTTTGGAATCTGAGAGTGACTAGCCTTGTGTGATGCAGTGACTGTGGACCAGCAAGAAAACAGAGACGTTTCTGGGATTTCTGAGGGGAGCCCTTTGTTTTGAGGCCAGATGGCCAAGCCAGTCTACATAAAGAGGGCTCTTGGCCCTTTTCCTTCAGGGGTGTTGGTTGTTGGGGGGTGAGAGAATTTTCTCTCACCTAGTTTTTAATCCTTTAAAAGGTCTGAATACAAAATGTTTATCATAATATTCATGGGAAGGAAATCAAGTTGCTCACTTGGGGAGAGTGGAAATATTAATGAAATAGCTAATGTGGGATCACAGATAATGAGGTTGGAGGAAGGTCTAGAATTGTTATTTTCTTGTAGATCTGGGAAGCTGAAAAAACTCAAAAGGTTCACATTTATATCCACACATAACATGCACCCATCTGAACACACAAAGTATTTCAATTAATGGATGTATCTTAAAAGTTGCTACAAAACTTTAAGCAGGTAGAACATGATCACTTGTATTGTCCGGTAATAAGGCAACAGAGTGGGGTGAGTGATGTGTCCTGTGACAGTATGCACTGCCGTAGGGTCCCACCTATGGGACCATCTCAGCAATGCACATGCATACACACTGACGGTGAACCTTCTGGCTCCTGGCTTCTTCACCATCTGCCATAAATGTTTATGTTACATCATATGCTATTTAATATTAATGAACTCAGAAAGTCACATATGCATATATATCTGTTTTCTGAATTGCCCTGTATATGTGGACCTATGTCTCATTCAAAATGCTAAGGCAGCAAGACAACTGTCTGTACCCTTCAAAAATGTCCCTGTCATGAGGTGCAAAAAAGGACAAAGGAATTGTTCCTAATTAGAGACTACGGGCAACTAAGATGTAATATGTCTTGGACTGGATCTTGGAATCAGGAGTGGGGGTGAGGGATAGGAGTGATAGGGGCTACTGATGTTAAGACACTACTAGAACAATCGGCAAACTTTAAATGTAGACTGTATGTTAGATGATAGTACTGTAACAATGTTAAATTTCTTGAATTTGATCACTGCACTGTGGTTATAGAAGGCAATGTCCTTGTTTCTTTAAAAAAAATACATCCTAGAGTATTCAGATTTAAAGGGGCATGACATATACAATTCACTCTCAAATGTTTTAGAAAAAGTATAGACAGAGAGATATGAAGCATATGCAGCCAAATGTTAACAATTTGTGAACCTAAATGAAGGGCATACAAAAGTTATTTGTATTATTCTTGCCACTTTTCTGCACTGTAAGTTTAAAAATAAACTGTTTACATGAATGTAATATGGTGAAACTTATCTTGGCATTGTCTTTTTACTTTTCAGCTAACTAGATAACTCTACACGACATGAAAATAGACTGCCTGGTTCACTGTTGTATTCACGTGCCCATCACGGAGTAGATGCTCAGTTGTGTGGAATACAGAAGAAGTGATAAAGAGCATGATGAAATTATTCTGATGCACTGCAGCCCTGACTTTCTTCCTTCAAAACCGCAGCAGCATAACTTACCCAGGAATCTGTTGAAGACTCTGCTCTGAGCAGGCCCTGTCAATCATTTTGTGACAGCGTCCCGGCCTCACTGACCAGAAGGTCTTGGTACCTTGGGAACCAAGTGGGAAACACTTCCCCAGCACTGACTGACATTCTTTCATTCCAGAAGATATTGTCTCTGAAGACTACCGAATGTGTTGGAATAAACCAATGACCAAACCCATCAAATATTCACAATCAGAAACCCTATATGCCTAAACTTTAATGGCATTAAGTTGGAAAATAAACCCTTAGGATTAAAAAAGCAAGGGGAAAAAAACAGCATATCATCATGAACTACATGAAGACATGACTGGATAAGCCCGGCAGCCCAACTGACTTCTGTATCGTATAAGGAGGCAGCAGCGTTCGGTGGAGACGTGCGTTTCTGATGGCAGTTGGATTTTGGTTCAAATTCCAGCACCTCCATTAACAACCTGTGTGATTCCGGGTAAGTAACGTTAATTTCTCTCAGGACCGGTTCCATTAGCTAAATAATGGGGATCATGATAAATACCTTCCTTATATTATAATGTTGCTGTGAGGACCCATCAGTGCCAACTCCCAGAGAAGTCCTGGCTCAGTAAATGGTAGCTCTTGTTATCTTCACCAAGAGGGTGCAGGAGCCGTGTCTGAGAGGGGATTTTAATCACGTTTCTTCCACTAACACAGAGCTCCCTAAAGGCCTGGTGACCACAAATGAAGCCTTAACTCAAAGACAGTAGAGTCTTTGAAAGGAACAGAATTAAAAGTAGGGTCTGTCCTTTCATGATGGGGTACAAAGAAGCTATTAGTCAACTCGGCAAATACGTCCTCTGTAAATCAGCTCAGTGCGTTTGGAGAGCTCACTTGGAAGCAGCATGCTGATGAGGTCCAAAGGGGAGCTTAAAACTTAGTGTCTCTACCTGTGCCATGTAATCTAGGAAACAACCCAGGAGAAGCATTCAGAGAATCAATTACTGCCCTCCTAGTTGATCTCAGCTGTCTAAATATGGTCATAGATTGCCCAGGTCTATTTCAAATGAATTTTGAGAAAGTCCATGAGCGTGGCAAGAATTGGAGCATCTAAGGAGGGGTTGCTGTCTAGGCTGTGTGGTTATTGTTGGATGGTGAACGAGGACTTAGGAATCTCATCATCTTCCATAGGTTCAAATCCTCTTGTCCGCCAATACTTAGTATGTTTCTTTTCTTCTGGGGAAGAGAGCATCGTTGCAGATTACGTGGCTTTGGATTTTAAAAAGTAGGCTTGGGTTTAAGTTCTGATTCTGCCATGTACTGACTATGTGAATTTGGGGGACTTACTGAATTTCCCAGAGCTCACTCAGTTTCCTCATCAATCAACAGTAATAGCCACTTTGCTGTTTTGCCGCAAGGCTTCAACGAGCTCGTGCATGCCCAGGGTCCTTTCACAGTGGTTCCCCAATATATCTCAGCTCCCTCGGGCACTGAATATTATGGGGGCTAAAGGAGAGAATCCTGTCCTCCCTCCCAACTGAAAGCCAAGATGGTTTTGGCTTATTTAAGCATGAAAACATCAGTGTGCCCCATTCACAAGCGTCTTGTACCCTAGGGAACTGATACGAAGGAATCAGCATCTGTAGCAACTGCCTCTGACCAAGTGGCTACAGCTCCCCCCACATGAGCCGGGGCTGGCGAAGTGCTGCTGCCCTCAATGTAAGTTCTGGGAATTCACGCTGTTGGTGCTGCAGACCGCAGCCTCCACCGGCTTGGCAGCCTCTGTGTTGAACTTGGGAATCAGCCACGATCTGAGTTCTAGCCTTAAGTGAGACTAGCTTCAGAGTGTCAGGCGCCTGTCTTTGGGGAAATAGGATTTCCTCTTGTGGGTGTGGAGTGTCGGTTTCTGGCTTTAATAAATTCAGCGTACGTGAAGCTACACCATCCTCCAGTTTATACCTATTGTCTCCAAGTAATTAGCACCTTCCTTCATTCTCAGAGCTGACCCACTTCAGATGATAATAGATTACATGGTCACAACTATACCCACAGAGATGCAAGTGAAGAAGCAAGGTGGCTGGGTGTGATTCAGGGGCCATGAAAAAATTTAAAAAATAAAAGGCTTTAGGGAATTAAAAATTGATTTTCAACACTGAGGAACTAGAGCTGTCAGCATATGAAAGTTTGAGTGCCTGTGCGTGTGTGTGTGTATGCACAGGGGAGAGGAAGAAGCAGTGGTGTGCGGGTAGATGTTTAACAACCGGCGCTCAGGGTGGCAGGGCCCTGATTTGTGATGTTTTCTGATTTCCATGGCGTAAATACTCCAATCACGGATGATTTCACGCTACAAAGGTGATGTCTCTGTACACAGGAGTAGGAAAGAGATGTGCACAATAAGCTGGCTCCCACACACCAGTGGAAAAAGGAAACTTTAACGTGAACTTTGAATACTTTTGTGATGTTTTGCTTTTTACAGTATTTATGTATAACTTTTGTAATAATACTGCATGTGTCATTTATGTATGTGAGATATATATACATACACACACACACATGAGACATATACACACACACAAACTTATGCATATCTGTGTGAGGATTAGTCCTAATAGTTTTCCTAAATTTGTCAGTAAATCTGAGTGAATGCACGTGACTGCGTGACACATTGAGGGCCTCTCATAAATCAGGCTGCTGCTGCGGCGTTTCATGACTAACAGGACAGTTGCCACGGTTTCCCTTGCTGGCCCACATATGCTACCTAAAACATCTGGCCTTCAGTATTGAGACAGAAGCTGAATGGAAAATGTGAAAATGCTCTGAGGGTTGGAGCATGAAGTGAGATCTAACCTCAGGCAAAGAGAAAAAAGAGGTTCAAGTTCAAGCAATGAGAGAACACAACGGGAGAACAGAAAGTGTAAAGTTGCTGTTTACCGACTTTGCTGTCTACACGGAAGTGTGTCCGGTAGCTCCTTACAAGAGTGGGAGGGGAGTGGGGAAGAAACAGTCTGTACTTTCGTTTATTGATGCAGCGTTTGCTGGTCACACTGCAACTTGATACAAACAGCCCGGCAGAGAGTAGGGCCCTGACTCTTGTTCTCATCAATGTAAACACAACATTAACATTGAAGATTCAAGAAAATGGCTAAAAAGTCCAGTGTCCCTTCAATCTGTGTAACGGTAAAGGTGCTGGCCTACCCTTGGGTGGGTCCCCAAGGGAGCCTGAGGTCATGACCTCGTCCCAGCTGCAGCGGAGTGGACGTGTGAACACAGTGGAGCCCAACACATTCTTCCCTAAGTTCTCCAAACGGGCTTGTGAATCTTCAGCACTGGGCTCGAGTGAATTACGAAAGTTCTTCTAAAGGCCTGAGAGGTTCGTACCTTTCGCGTGCATGGAAACCATCCCTTTAAAGCCCTGTCCCCATTGAATCAGTCACTGCCAATAGAAAACCTGACTGGTTGTAAAACAGCTGGTCTCTGTACTTCCACAGTCCCCATCGTAGCCCCTGGATTCTGGAAAGTAGGGAATTCAAGGTCACGGGGCCTCGGTGACCATCCCGAAGAAGGCGACCCGTGTCAATGTTGGCCGCAGACTCCCGTCCTCCTTGCTGGGCCACTGCTGATAGAGGGATGGCAGCTAAGCAGCTGCTTCTCCTTCAGAGCCTTAAAGGATCGGGTTTTCTAGCTGGGATTCCCAGACCCAAAATAAACAAATAAACAAAATCCCCCAAAACAAAACAAGAGTGACCTTGAGGATAAAGAACCGAGCAATCCCCACCTCTAGGTCCTGCCGAGTACAGTGTCCCCACTGGGTTTTCCCGAACAGTTCTGATCACTGGCGTGCCCTCCTTTTGGATACCCCGTTGAACTGCAGGGTGAAGAAGAAAGTCTTCTCTGATGAAGAGACATTTTTGCTTTTATTTCCTTGGATGGCTAACCCCTACACCCTGCCTTCTCTTTTTTTTTTAAAAAAAAAAAAGCCATGAGAATATCCTAAAGACCTGCCTGGTGGTGTGCCTGTGTGGAAGGATAACCCCCTTGCTCCCTCTCACCCTCTGTGTCCCGTTCTTGGAGAGACCACATAGGTGGGCTGTTTTCCCACGCTCTGGGAGTGATGGGTCATGGGCCAGAGAGGGACTGGCCGGATCCTTGTCCCAGATCTCCGTAGGGAGGGCAGCTTTGTTGGGCCAAAGAGACTAATAAAAACAAACCAAAAAAAGCGGTGCTCAATTTGAGTTTGAAGGCTGGGCCCCACACAGCAAGTGGCTCTCCCCCTGGTAGAACGTCTCTCCCTTGTGATGGGCTTCTTGGTGCTAGCTGTTGTTCTCGGCCGTGAGATATTTGAGGGCGGCAAAGCCGTAGCGGCGGGACATGTCCTGCTGAAACTCCTCCTTCAGGGTTTTGAGACAGATGCGGTATTGCTTGTTGGACCGGAACTTGGTGATGTCGAAGCTAGGGGCGTGAGGCATGTGGATCATGTATGCGTTGGGCAGCACGATGAATTCATACTCCTGGAAGCAGACAAGAGCAGTGTGAGACCTGCAGAGCCCCCAGCGATGTATGATGAACACCCCAGCGGATGGCCGCCTGACCAAGCGAAGGAATAAGTGCTGAATGACACCAGGAAGCAGGGCAGCACCACCATGTGGTCGGGAGCAGTTCAGGGCTGTCTCCATGACCTTGGACACATTACCTGGCTTCTCTGAGCCTTAGTTTTCCCATCTATAAAGTGAAAGTGATAATACCCACCTTGAGAGACGACCAGTAATGTATGGACAGTGCTGGGCAGAGCTTATGGCCCATAAAACGTTCCTGATTAAGTGTGAGTACACACCCACATGTTTGCTCTAGAATGACACAAGCCACAGGAGACTCTCTTGCTCGATTAAGTGATGTCTGCTTATGTGACTTCTCATAGGGTTTGATGAGATTTAACAGTCTCGTCAGATTAGCACAAAAGAGGGGACAAAAAAGGAATGAGGAAAAAGGTGCTCCACTGGACGGAAGCTCATCAAGAACTAAATTCTCAAAAACAAAACAGAAAAACCCCAACAAAAAACAAACAGAGGGCTTCCCTGGTGGCACAGTGGTTGAGAGTCCGCCTGCCGATGCAGGGGACGTGGGTTCGTGTCCCGCTCCGGGAAGATCCCACATGCCGCGGAGCGGCTGGGCCCGTGAGCCATGGCCGCTGAGCTTGTGCGTCCAGAGCCTGTGCTCCGCAACAGGAGAGGCCACAACAGTGAGAGGCCTGCGTACCAGAAAAAAAAAAAAAACAAAAAACAAAACACACCAAACTTCTCATCCAAGCAGCCTTACTACAAATCATCGTATGGTATTCTCCACTTTGCAGAATATAGATAGGAACTCATAAAAAATAAAATGCCTCTAAATAGCTAAAACAGGTGACATATATTCGGGATGTGTAACTCAAAGGAGAACCAGCACAGCTGCACTCAGAATTACAATCTCTGATTTTAGATAGAATGTCTGATAAGCTTTGGTCATCCAGTTTCCCAGCCCAGAGCAGATCAGAATAAACTCAAAGGGAAACGTCAAGATGGGGAAAGGTAGCTGTTCCACGTGGAGGAATACTGACAGCAGCCAGAAATGACAGTTGATGGTGAGGAAGGAGTGAGAAAAACCATAAAAAGAAAATGCAAGAACTCCCGGAGCTTAGCTGTCTGGGATTTTTCACGTGGGGACAAACAGCCCTACCGATCCCAACAGCTCCTACAGGTGTGGCTGGATTACCTGTCAAGTGTGTACTCATTACCTCCCTAAATCACTAGAAAGAGTAAAATTACATTTGGCAGAGCAAGGAAAATATGCAACAAATTTTCAAGAGTTCTGTCAAAATTGTCTAAAACAAAGCCCAGGTCTCAGTGCTGGAAAACTTAACTTTATTGAACCAGTTCACCTCACCACGCTGCCGGATGCACGAATATTACAGCATTTCTTTCAAACAGAAGCTGAGGCAGACTAAGCATTTCTGTTTGTGAGCAGCACTGGACCACCTCCAAGACTGAAAAAACGGACACTAAAGGTCGTGCTCTCCGTTGTTAAATATGGACACCATCCCATAACCTTCTATCTACATCAGTGGTTTGCAACGCTAGAGGTTTATTCAAATCACCTGGGACTGTTCTCAAACACACTGGAACTGTTGGCAAGTTCTCCAGGTGACTCAGGGCAGGCAGCACCGAGTATCCATTGCTTTCTCTGAATTCAGGATGCTCCTGTTGAGAAATCTTTACACTGTGCTCCAAGAGGCGGTGCCTTGGAGAATAGCAAACAGAGAGACCAAAGGGTGGGGTTGAGGGGCCTAAGCCTCCTTCTCCTAACTGAACCAGAATAGCTTTGCTTTTGTTTGTTTGACACAGGGGCTGCCAAGCTGTGGTGTGTCTGGCCGGCTGCATGTTCTTTAATAAATAAAGTTTTATTGGAACACAGCCACGTCCATTCTTTAGATACTGTCTACAACTGAACGACAATGGCAGAACTGAGTCGTTGAAAAAGAAACTTGCAGGCCCCACAAAGCCTCCCAAATTTACTATCTGGTTCTTTGGAGAAAAGCTTTGCAGACCCCTGGTTTAACCTATTAGAATTCTGCGGAGATTTCTTTTGAAGTAGGTGCTCAGTTAAGTATTAGTTGAATGAATGAAAAGGTTTCATGATTAAATACAGCCTGAACATCATCACTCTTTTAGTTACAGGGTAGAATAAATAGCTGCTTCTCAGCTGCGTGCTTTGTGTCATTTATACCGAACTGCTAGAATGCTTTGTGTCAGTTACATGACTCACAGGCTGAGTGATGAATGGTCATCATTTGCTTGTCTTCGTCACTGGGTTGAATGAGGATGAGGGGGTGAAGTGGTTTGTCACAGGACACTCACATGTGCCTGAGTCCTGGCTGGGAACCCAACTGTCTGTCACCCAAGGGAGAAGAAAGAGAAAAGTTTTGGGAATCAACAGCCCTGAGAATGAGTACTGTCATGTTCTCACTCTAGATCCCTGAACACGCTGTGTTCCTTCTCTGGTCCCTGCGTATTATCTCCAAGGCCCTTCCAGCTTTAAGATCCAGGCCTCCCCTTTCCCCACAGCACCGGGTCCATAACGTCCCACTCTTCTCACCTGGGCATCCAGTTCCATGATGTGAGCCACCTTGTTCCAGCCAAAGCCCACAAACCTCCGGTCGTACTCAGGGCAGTCCCGTCTCACGACAACATACGGCTCGAAATCGGCCTCCCACTCAACCCGGTAAGGCGTGGTGGCGGTCCGCCACTTGGCAAAGTTTGTGGGTGCGTGGCCTTTAGTCCAGACGTGGTACCTGGGACACATGGAGAAAAGCCACTGAGTGGAGGGAAGGAAGCTCAGCTTTCCAAATGCTGCTGGTTTGGAGGATGAAGAGCTACATGCTGATATAGTCCTTGTTGTGGGTTGCATTTTGTCCCCCACCCCCCGCCAAAAGCTATGTTCAAGCCGTAACCCCTAGTACCGGAGAACGTGACCTATTTGGAAAGAAGGTCTTTGCACATGTATCAAGTTAAGAAGAGGTCGCAGTGGATTATTGCAGGGTCTAATCCAAAGGCTGGTGTCCTTATAAGAGGAAATTTTGGATACGGAGATACACAGGAAGAATGCCATGTGAAGATGAAAGCAAAAATTGAAGTGACAGACCTGCGAGCCAAGGAACGCCACGGATTGCTGGCAACCACCAGAAGCTGGAAAGAGGCACGAAAGAAATCTTCCCTAGAGCCTTTGGAGGAAGCCAGGAACCACCATCACCTTGAGTTTGGACTTCTGGCTTGCAGAATGGTGAGAATAACTTTCTGTCACTTTAAGCCACCCAGTTCGTAGTACCTTGTTACAGCAACGAATACAGTCCACTACCTACATCCTTTACTAATGAAGAGGCTATCACTGTGAAAGGGTACATGACTTTCTGGAGTGCTCTCTGTCGTTTATGTGGAACTGCATGTTAGTCTGTGATAGGGTCATTCCTACCAGGGACCATTGTGGAAGGCAGAAGACTCTCTTCTGGGTGACGCTGCTCTTGTATAATGTTCTCCCTCTTGAGGCAGAACCTGTGACTATGGTATCACCTCTGTGATTAGGCTACATTATAGGGCAAAAGGGATTTAGTACATGTAATTATGGTTACTAATCAGTTGACTTTAGATTAATTACAAGGGAGATTATGGGGGGTGGGCCTGACTTAATCAAGTGAACCTTTAAATCTGAGTCTGGAAGAAAGCAAAAAGCCATGCGTGAGATGCCTGTGGGGGCCACATGGCAGTCCTACAATGACAAGGAAAGGAATCCTGCCAACGACCAGTGAGCCTGGAGGAGAACCACACGCTCTAGGGACAACTGCAGGCTTGCCCATGCTTTGATTTCAGCCAAACGAAACCCGAAGCAGAGAATCCAGCCATTCCATGCTTGGACCTCTGACCCTCAGAGACTGTGAGATAATAAATTTGTATTGTTTTGAGCTTCGAAACTTGTGGTAGTTTGTTATATAGCAATAAAAATGAATACAACCATGCAACAATAATGATAAGAAGCCAGTATTTAGTAAACACTTACTCTATACTGGTTATATTGTACATGCTAGACCTATAGTTTTAAATTCTTATTACGTGCCCAGTGTCAAGTTACAAAGAGCAGTGGCGGAGTTGAGATTCAAACCTAGGCAGCCTGGCTCAAGGGTCAGGACCTTTAACCACGATGCTGGGTTACCTCTCTTATATGTCACTGTCACCACACTCTCTGGCCTATATCTAGAGCAAGTAGTCAATGGCTGTGCACTAAGTTGAACAGATTAATGAATGAATGAACACTCTAAAAACCTGAGAGGTACCTGAGACAGAAGCCAGTTAGTGGGGCAGGAATGTGCCTCTGGAAGCTCCAAAGAGATGGCAGGAGGCCGAGGCTCTAGTGAAACAGCAGATGGGGCCCAAGAAAAAGAACATTCTAGAAAGAAAAGCTTCAGAAAATGCCCCAAGAAACCTACTGTCAGACCAGTAGACAGTGGTCTCCAGGACTTGCTTTCTGAGACCATCCTCAGCCTCCAAACACAGTGATGAGAGAGATTTCCTGGGTACACCTTGTGGGATGTTGCTTAGAGGAGATGCGGGGCACTCCGCTTTGAGCAGAGGTTCTCCAACGTGAGTGCGTATCAGAATGCCCTGGAGGACTATTTTCTAACAGATATCTGGGTTCCACCCCCAGAGTTTCTGATCCAGTAGGTCTGGGGTGAGGCTTCAGACCTGGCATTTCTAACAAGCTCCCAGGGGATGCTGTTGCTAGTGGCCCAGGGACCACACTCAGAACCGCTGCCCTGGAGGATGGATGTGTAGGTGTGTGGGTGATTTCTCATTCCAGGTGCAGTGCGGAGTAGGTTTCAGCTGTTAGGAGGCTTAAGAATTCATCATTTGGAGGGAAGGTGACAAAAGCAATTTCTCGGAGGGAAGGTCTGTAATTTAGCACTTGGCATGGTGGCTTGCAAGCTGTTGGCCAGAGCAGCAATCGCAGACACAGCAGGCCAAACCCCAGCTCTCAAGCCCACGGACTTGGCCTTGAAATGAGTTCTTAGATAATCTGGGGATGGAGAAGGAAGGAAGGAGGTCTTGAAAATTTGCTGGATGGTCAGCCATTAGGCTGTGGCGTCTAGAGTCTCTCTTTTTGCATGCATCTTCAAACACTGAAAGTGAAAAAATTCAGGACTTGATCAGTGGTCTGATGGTACTTCGGTTAAGAGCACAGGCTCTGTAGTTCCCCAGAGCTGGGCTGAATCCAGGCTCTGTCACGTACTGGCTGTGTGGCCTGGCAAGTTATGTAGCCTCTCAGAGCCTCGGTTTCTTTATCTGTAAAATGGGGACAACATATCTGCCTCATGGATTTGTTGTGAGGATTAAAGGAGCTGATCACAGTGCCTGGCACTCAATAAATGGTAGTTATTGTTTTTTTTCCAAAAAGAAAGGAGGATTGGTTGGTGGGGTATTAACTCTTTGAGGCTACTTTCCAGAATTCTGGAGGGAGGAAGAAGGCTGCAGTTTGAGTCCTGGCTCCCCCAGGATCCCTGCACTCCTCAGTTCCTTTATCTGTATAAAAGGTGAAAAGGGAGCATCTCTGAATTGTTGCATGAATAACCTACCTGATAAAATTATTTCACAAAATAATGTTTGAGAAAACCTTCCAGAAACTTCTAGTGACTTAATAGTGATATGAAAACCTAAGTTATTATGATCTTTCCAATAAAATTCAGATTGCCTAGAAATGTATGTTCTTTAGCTCAAAGGAAGCGTTGGGCATTCTTACACGGTTCAAAAGGGAGGTCTCTCTTTAAAACGGACGCAGAAGGAGGGCGCAGCTCTCTCTTTCTTCCAACTGCTCTGTCAAGAGACCGAGCATGATTCCTACTCCCCCGCCCAGGGGCGCTACCCTGAATGCTGTAGCCTGTCCCCTGCAGACAGAAGCCATCGGCACCTGTGCTATCCTGCAGACTCTCTGGGCCCTTTGGACAGGTGGAAGGGTAGCCCTTCTGCAATGTTCCTGCAGGACTTAGGGTACTAGGAAATCAGGGAAATGAAAGGTTTGTTTGAAACTGTCACTCGGGCAACAGGAAAGTCAGCTGCCACATCTGTTGTGTCCAACCTTGGAGTCACCTTGATGACTTGAGTGGTTGAAGCTACTGCTGCCCATCCCAGGCCCGAGGACCTCGGAGAACAGACCACCCACAAGAAAAAGGGAGACGGCCTCCACGGCACTAACACAACGAAACACGCTTACCAAATGACTGAATGGACAAATAAACCAAGAGAGGAATCAGAGCCAGGAGACGGGAGCAGAACTTAAACTGAGTAAAGTAGGAAAAGAAATAAGCTAACTGCCCTGCCCAGCGTTCCTGTCCTTGCATGTGGACACAAAGGTCGATCACACGTGTACAAAAAGCGCATGGCACGTGGGAAGAAAAAACAACACTCCAAGCACACAGTGTGGGGCCAGTGGTGCTTTTTTTTGGCCTTAAAATGGTCTAATGCCATGACAACTGTCTGGGCCAGCAGCTCTGGCGCCTGGGTTCCCAGGAGCGAGAAGGGCTTCAGGCTTCCCCTCCCCCAGGAGGCGGCAGTGAGGGCCACTCACCTGAACGTGAAGAGGGTCCCCATGTCCAGCATCGACAGCAACTCTGCCTTCGACTTGGGGAAGGAGAGCCGGTAGCGCAGCGTCTCGAACGCAGGGACTATCGTCACCTTCTTGGTGTTGGCAAGGTCGAGCTGGATGACAGACTTCCTGGAGAGTGGGCAGGAAGAGAGACAGGGTCCCTGTGATGCCAGGCAGAGGCCTTCCCCACGGGACGGAGTGGAGGTGGTTGGCACAGGGAGGGGTCAGCCTCTCGGGTTAAAGATGGGGGATCCGAGGCCCGGGGAGGCCAGGTAGCTGGTCCAACGCCACTCGGGAGCCCTGCTGTCTCTGGACCAGAGAGCGGAGTCTTCCTGGAGAGTGAACAGAGAGGCTGGGGGCTCTCCCTCACTTTCATAGTGTGTGCCCCTGTCAGAGATGAGTGCAAAAGCCAAGCGTCCGGGACGCACAGGGTTTGGAGATCTGCCCACCTGCTGGGTCCGCTGGGTTGGCCACACGCTCCCAGCGCACCACTGGCCACGGGAGAGCTGGACATAAAGCGAATGAGGTGATCACCAACTTGGGCGTTTGTGGGTCCCGTCTCTGTGACTCTTCCATCCTTTCCCTCCTCCAGATCCTGAGACTTCAAAATGGCCAGACACACCCCACGCAGCCAGCAGCCAATGCACCAGAGCTCTGCTATCCCTCATCCCCTCATTCACTCCTGGCCTTTGAGCCTGGCCTTCTGCTCCTCAGACCCATGTCTTGCCTTATGGATTTATCTGCCATGGCCCAGCTCTGTGGCCAACCTTTGAAAGAGAGAAAGGCCCAGAAAGGTCACAGTGCACGAGGCCTGTAATGGACACAGACAGGACTTAAATCCTGGCTCTGCCGCTTTAGGAGTCTTGCCATATCGTACAAGGGATTTAGCTTCTCACGACCTCAGGTTCCTCCCTAAGATGGGGCAATAATATCTCGCCCCTGAGGTGCTGTGGAGACCGGACAAGGTAACAGAAATACTAGTACTGTTTGGTACACCTGGCACGTGGCAGGCTGGAAGCGACAAATGGTCCCTGTTACACTGCGGTGCTGTCCTATTCCCTGGCTTCACCTTCCAGCATCTCTTTGGCCGTGGCTTTGATACTTCATGCGGGCTTCCTGCTCAGACCACTGACCCTCAGGTCTCAGGCCAGCCTGGGCCGTCTGCCCGTTATCTCTGAGACAGAGAAAGCAGTCTTCCTTGGGGTAATGCGAGGCGTTGAAGGCATTTTGCAAAAATACCGGAAGCAGCAGCCCTCCAGAGCAGTACAACTGCTTGAAGTAAGAAGTCACTTCACTCAACAGGACTCTGAGCCTGTGCCTACGCAGGGACTGGGGCTGGTCTGCAAAGAGCCGTCACCCTACGAGGAAGTAACACGTTAGCCCCGGCCAGCGTGGGACAAGAACAGAGTGGCCGTCCAGGAAGACCGGCAGCAGGGTTTGGAAGCAACAAATGAGGGGGAACCCAGACCAGGTCGGGATAAGGGCAGGTCTTGGAAACCACTCTTGGTTAAGAGGTCTCACCAGCTCCCAGGGCAAAGGTGGTGGTTGAGATGGACTGGAAATTGACGTGGGAATCCTCCAAATATCAGTGCAGTTCACTCTTTATAGTTATGCTTAAGTTAACTATATACCAAATGATATATGGGTCTCACGTCACTACTTCAGGGGAGATTCATAAACGATGACACCAAGATGGAATCTGGGTGAGCTATATGTAGCTGGTTGGAGGACCAGAGGTCTGAGCCACCCCGTTCTGGCGTGCGTTTCTCTGTCTTCTCTAAGCAATGACTTCATACAAACACCCGAAGTTTCCTCACTGATGGCCAAGCATTCTCTTTCATATCAACCCTACATTGGACATGGGCAGAGCTGGAGCTCATTACCTTTCCCCCAGGACAGGTATGTACCTTATTTACAGATATGGGTGTTAGGGACGGGACACATGGGTCTAAAGAATACCCTTGGATCAAGATGGCGAAGCCCCTGGAGGGAGGAGGGAAGATGTCCCAGCACTGACGGGTGGTTGCCATTCGTTCAACAATCACCGAGCACCTACTACGTGCCAGGCACTGTGCTTGGCACTTGGAAATACAGAACAAAACATCCAAAGTCTCTTCCCACCTGGTGCTTACGTTTTCATCTGAAATGTCTCAGGATGCTTAAGGCCCAAGGGCAAGTGTCTCTGAATTGGGGCTCTAGATTACATTTGCAGCTAATTAGTTGAAGATACGACTGCTATGGAAATGGAGTGGGAGGCTAGGAGGGCTGAACTGTGGAGGGAATGGTGAAGTGTACACACATACACAATAGACATAGAGATCTATGAACATGGACGTGTCTATCTATATAAACCCCACATTACTGTTACAGTCAAGGTTATTATAGAAGCCACTTCTTGGAATAGAAAATAATTCCCTCTCTCATGGTCCCCGTACATAGTCGGCAGCTCTGAGCTATGCTGACACATGTGAAGACCTGGCCAGGGCCGGGTGTTCAGGGGTAGACACTTGGGCTGAGCAAATTAGTTTCTCACTCTTGGAAATCTGAACAGATGCAGAGACTGGAGATCACAGAGCCGACTTGCACTAACATCAGGCAACACTCAGAGGTTTCTGAACTTCTACTGCAGAGTGGCCCGGAGCTGCCCAGGGTTAATTATGGTCTCAAGTATTGGTTTTCCAAATCCTACTTTGATTCCGTAAGATAAACCATTCAACATTTTCCCCCCTGTGATTTCTTTTCAGTTTAATTAAGTGCCTAGCACTGGTTTCTGTTGCTTGCAAAAAAACCACCAATATATTGCAAGGCCCCGAGTAAGCAGACCTGGTCAGCAGCACGCCCTACAAAATTGAGTCCCAGAAAACCTTATTTCCCTCTGCACAGAGAGCATCAGACCCTCAAGTGTTTTCTGCAAATTCCCTTTCATCTCGCTAAAACACAAAATGCCATGGAGATGGATTTGTCGCTAGATAAGTCCGTTTCAGCCTCAGTTCAAGGAGGCTTTGATACCGATGTCCTGAATGGGTCTCATTATGAAGTTGTTTCAGCAACAAAGTGGTTTCAGGGCACCGACTCTGAGCACATCTGTTCCTTGAGACGGTAATGGCAGCCTGGGCTCTCCTGGGCTGTGTCCCGCTGGCATATACTATCTTGGCTGGGCCCGCGGACCACCTGGAGTTGCATGGTCTGTGGCCATGCTCTACCTGGGAAGCGAGTCTAGCAGGGGATGGAGGGTTTCCAGTGCAGAATCTTCCAGGAGCAGGGGAGGGCAGGATGGCGAGGTGGGAAGGCTGGCCTGGGAGCCAGCTCTGACCCACTAAGTGGTTCTGGGTCCCATCGTCCATCTCTCTGGGACTGGTTCATCTAGAGTATTCAAACTGAAGATTTTGGAAGGCAGTCCGGTACGGTAGTAACCAGGCAAATGTGGTTTCTAGCTGACTCCACCACTCCTCTTGGGCAAGTCACTTAAACCCTTCTGAGTCTCCGAGTTCATGCATGGGTTAAATACTTTGATGAGAAGCAGCACACGGTGCGTGCAGAAGTGCTGGCGCAGTGCCTGTCACACACTAGGTGCTGACTACATGAGGGCTGCTGTTCTGGATGCTTACTTGCATGTGTCAATTAGGCTGGGCTGTGGTGCCCAGATGGTTGGTTAAACAGTCGGTCCCGGCCAGGGCTTCACACGGGGAAGCATAGCTCAGAGCTGCCCCTATGTACAGGGACCATGAGAGGGGCAATTATCTTCTATTCCAAGAAGAGGCTTCTATAATACCCCTTTGCCTTAGACGCAGGTCTAGATGTTGCTGTGAAGGTATCTTGTGGATGTGGCTAACATTTAGAATCAGCTGACTTTAAGGCCCTTACCCTTGATAATGTGGGTGGGCCTCCTCCAATCAGTTGAAGGCCTTAAGAGCAAAAACTGAGCTTAACTGGGAAAGAAGGACTTCTGCCCCCAAACTGTCACATAGAAATCCTGCCTGAGTTTCCAGCCTACTGACTTGCTCTATGGATTTCGAACTCGCCAGTCATCGCAATTCCTTAAAATCACTATCCAGCCATATCTAACCATCCTATGGTTCTGTTTCTCTGAAGAATCCTGATTGATCCACTTGCCCTTGGCCAGGACCCCTTCGAAAATATTCACAAACCTACTAGAACATTTTTGGACTGAAAACTTGTAAAAGACACCCTAGGTAGCTACAGAAGTAAAAAGACACCCTAGGTAGCTACGGAAGTAAATGAGAAACCTGCTGGTGTAACAGAGCACGGCAAACACAGGGACTCAGAGGCAGCCGGCACCGGGTTCAGGTCCTGCCTGCCACCCTCCTGTGACCTTGGCGACACTGTAGTCACAGGTTCCCCATCTGTAAAATGGAGGTAACACTCCTCTCTTACCAATCAGCACTGCTGTGAGGATGAAATAATCATTTACAGCCAGGCATGCGCCTGACGTGGAATAACTGAGTAACAAGTGAGCTTGCATCCCCCTTCCCAGCTCAGCTTCCCGCTGGGCCTGGTGCAAGAGAAAGTACGAGGGCAGAGGGTTCAGAAAAGGCCACAAACTGCCCACAACCAGGACAGATTTCTGGCTTGCCGGCCTGCCTGTCTATGGAAACAGAGTTTATTTGATTTCGGTCTCCAGCCAGCTCCCCGAGTCCTTCCTCATGTCAAAAACAATTCAGGTGTTTCTGACACAGTAAATTCATCCCTTCCAGTCTGGTGGGGCCGACCTGGTAGCAAGCTGTGAACTGGGTGGTGTCTGTCTTCCAAGTCCCCCATCTCCTCTCCCGTGCATCTTTTCCCCTCAGCCTCTCGTGCTAGTTTACTCAAGTATGCAAATAGTTCATGGCCTTTTTTGCTCCCATTTGGTAAAACTGGTGACCGAGTTTGTGGGGGGGTGGGGGTGGGGGATGTGAGTAGCAAGGCTTCCTGCGCCAGTTGAGGGGACGGAGGTGGGCAGAGACTGCAGGCTTTCATGGGGCTCAGCGCTAAGTTGAAGAAACAGCACGAAAGAGTACACTGTTAGGTAGATGGGCTTCCTGGCGCTTAAAATGACCAAACCTGAAGACTGACCCTGGCAGTTGACCGCGTATGCACGTGCGCGCGCGCACACACACACACACACACAC